ACGCGGCGGCGCCGGGGGGCGGCCGCAGGAAGCGCGTGGAGTTCGTCACCTTCGCGCCGCCGCCGGCGCCCGAGGAGCCGCCGCCCGCGCCCAACGTGCAGTCCATCCTGGTGGCCAGCGAGGACGACATCCGCTGGGTGTGCGAGGACATGGGCCTCCGGGACCCCGAGGAGCTCAGGAGCTACATGGAGAGGATCCGCGGCAGCTCCTGATGCGGGGGGCCCGCCGCCAGCCCCCCGCCCCCTGCCCTGGCTCATACGGGGCCAGGCAAACCAATAAGGGACCAACCTCCTCCTCCCCGCACCTCTGCTTCCTCCGTGGGGACACGCGTTTCTGTCCCGCGCTCCCTGCTCGTGGCAGGGGCCTCCTCGCCATCCCCTCCCTGGCCAGCGCGGTGGCGGGAGCCCTGCACCACCAGGCTCGCTGGAGAGACCTGGACCCCTTTAGGGCAAAGGCATGGCCCTTGGGGACGAGCTCGCCTTGCTGTTGCCTCCTGGCGCAGAGCATCTTCCGCTCTCGTGGTCCACACCAGCTCCCCAGGCCCACCTTGCTGGGAGCTTCTCCAGTGCCACCGCACTGGTGCTGGTCGCCTTGGCGTTGGAGGGCGTCTTCATCCCTGGAAGCTGCCCCGGCGGGGGAATTGCGTGGAGGAAGCCTTGGTGCCCTTATTGCTTTGGGTCTCATTGCGACGTCGTGTTCATAGTGATGATGAGTCCTGTGGTCTGCTCCCGGGGACCGGCCCGTGTCCCTCCGCCCCGTCCCCAGCCCTGTCCCCTTGCAGCAAGGAGAGGGCCTGGGGCAACGAGCTCATCCCCACCGTCACCCCGGCCACGCATCCGTTTTGTATGAGCGGTATTTTATACCTGTAGCATTGTGGGAGGGGGCTTCCACAAGGGGCGTCTGTTATTTATGGAAGATTTTTAATTCTGACGTTGTTACAAAAAAAATAAAATATTTTAAAAGGCTGCGCTCCCTCCTGCCTGTGGCCTGGCATGTTTGTTCCTGCCGGGAAAGGATCGAGACGTTCTCCAGCTGTGCCGGAGAAGCCGTGGCAGGGAAGGACCTGCAGGAGAGCTTGGAGGAGCCCGGCACGGGCTTGAAGGGACAGCAGAGGACGCAAGCAAGGCCTGGGAGGGGGCCGCTCGCATCGGGCTCAGCACGGGACGGAGGGGAGAGCAGAGGCAGCCAGGGCGAGGGCATTGGGATCTGCTCCCGGCTCTGGCACAGCTGCGGTCACCTTGGAGCAGTGGCCCTGCCCTGTCTCACCCAGTGCTGGGTCTCCATGGCAGGCAGGCCCCCCAGGCAGCTGGACACCCCTCCGCTCTCCTCTACTCCCCCAAAACTGGTGACCCATCTGCCCCAGCACACCGTTACGCAACAGGTTYACTGGTGAAATCCAGCAGGGGAAGGGAACGTGCCCATGCCAGCCCCTTTCTTCACGGATGGGCTGTGGCTTTCTACTCCTCTTGGATCCCCTCCAAGCTGTCCTGGTGATCCTGAGAGGCCGCCCGTTCCCTAACAGGATCATGCCAGGAGAGCAGAAGCRGATGTTCACTCTAGTCCTCTCCATCGTCCTTTCTCTTGTAGGCTCTCAGCGAGCTGGACCAACTCAGGGCTGCACCACCAACCTGGGCTGCAGGAAACCTTCTGCCCTCCCACACATCTAATGCCCTCTCAGAGCTGGTCTCAAGCCATTCCTGTTGCTCCTTGGACACCCATGGAGGGGAGGTCCTGGGGCTGCAGAGAGGGGATGAGCAGGAATCCCTATCCCAGTGAGGCTGCCTGGGGAACCTGTCCCACGTGCCCTATTGGGTCTGGGGCCAGCAGCGTGTCTCTGAATTGCTGTGGGAATGGGGACAAGGCCTGGGTGACCTCCCATGGTGTCAGTCCTCCTCACAGAGGTGGCAAGCGCCAGGCCGGCGTGGCTGTTTTCCATAGCGCACAGAGATCCAAGCGAAGAGGAGGCAGGTGACCAACTGGATGCCCGCCAGCAGGAAGAAGTAATAGTCCATGTGGCAGTTGTTAATATTCCCTGTGAGTAGAAGGGACAGTCAGAGCCTAGGAAAGCCCTAAGGACACACCAGCGCTGTGCTGCACCCCATCATTACTCTGCTGGCCACCAAGGTGGGCTAAGCACCCAGAGAAGATGGTCTTGCCGAGGTATGCAGAGCACGAGACCCAACCTCGGGCCTCCACCCCAGCACCACTATCCCACTGGCCCATGGGGCCCGGTTATATCCCCGCAGGGCTCCCAGCCTGTGCTTACCGTAGTCCTCYGGGCAGTGCATCCACCCATGCGAAGGCAGCGAGAGGAGGGTCAAAAGCCCGGAGCCCAGGAGCGAGCCCACCCCGGAGATGAAGAAGAAAAGACCCATGATGGCTCCTTTCATGGACTTGGGGGCCTCAGAGTAGGCAAACTCAAGGCCTGGGAGAAAGCAGACAGAGCACGTGGTACTGATRGCAGGACAAGGCCGGGAACCCTCCGATGAGCTCTGTCATCTTCCCTCCAAGCAACCTTGCCATGGATGAGGTCTGCAGGATGCACATCGCCGGGTGCCCCGGGGCCGTGTGAGGTGCGGAGGGGACGGCCCCACTCACCCGGGATGCTGACAAACAGCTCGCTGACGCCGATGAGCAGGTACTGGGGGATCTGCCACCAGATGGGCAGCGAGGCGGCCACGTAGCTGTCCTTGCCGATGCGCTGTGAGACAGTCCGGTTGTGATGCACRTACTGCAGGCGCTCCCTCTCCAGGACACCTGGGCACAAGGGTGGTGAGGACGGAGGGAATGTCTGCCCGGGGCAGACTCACATCCCTGTTCGCTCAGGCTGGGGCCTTACCTGCTGCGAGGACGGAGGCGAGGCCGAAGAACATGCCCAGGGCCATTCGCTTGAGCGCCGATGGCAGCAGCTTCCACCGTACCAAGAACGGGTCAATGACACGGTCTTTCAGGGGCACCAAAGCCAGCAGGACCACCACGTTGGCCAGGAGGAGCCAGGCATCTGGGAACTGCAGGCAGAGACAGGTCCGGAGCCGGCAGTTGGAGCTCAGCGTCCCTGGGGATGCCCCTGGTTTCTGACCCGACCCCGCTCAGCAGGTCCGTGAGCTCCGAGCCCTCTCTCTTACCATGTAGTTTTGGGTAGCGCTGACACGTGTCTGGCTGTGCTGGAAGATGCTGGGGATGCGGAGGTGCAGGCCCTGCAGGTAATAGGTGGACTGCATCTAAAAGACACGGTGAGGGTGGCTCTGCTGTCTCAGCGGTGAAGGGAGATAACCCAGTTGCTGAACAGATCCACCACCCTGTCTGCCCGCACTCCTCCCTCCCGGCAGCATGAAGCGTGCTCCTTGCTGGACTAAATTGCCCCAAGACTGCTTGAAAAGGTGGGAACTCTAAAAGCTTCCAGCAGAGCTGAGTGTGCAGCTCTGGGTATTAGTTGACATGTGGCCCGGTGTCCCAACCCAAACTCATGTCTTGGAACCACCCACATACCCAGCACCACGTTCCTCCTGGATCAAGATACCCCTGAGCAGCCAGATCCTCCGCTCCCTTCAGGATGTTCCCACAGGCTGTCCCTCTCAGCAACAACTGAGTCCTGCCTATCCACGAACGTCCTGGCAGAYGCCTGCCTGCAAAGCACTCACACCATTAACCCTGATCTGAGGTCCATCAGTTCTCAGAGCTACAGCCTCACTTGTCTGGGGGAACTCTGTGTCTCCACCCAGCCTCTCTGGAGAGACTAGCTGAGACCAGGATTTTCGTTCCATCTTGCCCCTTGCCTAGGCTACCCAAGTGCCTGGCCACCAATTACACCTTACCTGGAAGTAGACCATCCAGTATGGGATGAAAGTCAGCATCACAGGAAGGATCTTGGCCATCACCCGAAAGTTGGCAAGGTCTTCTTCATAAGATGGAGCCTGGGGCTGTGGTCTGCTACTGGGGAAAGACTCCCTAGCCCCCGTGTGTGACCGGTGAGGATTCAGCCTCGGGGGAAAGGACAGTGTGAGAAGGGTCGGGCATGGCATGGCTCAGCTCCCAGCAGACCCCAAGCCCTGTCTCACCTKTTTCCCGCCAGCCAGGTACAACCACAGCTCTGCAAAGCTAGTTTGATCATGACAGAGACTTGGCTGCCCGTGGGGGGCTTGGTAACAAAGGTGGGGGTGGCCAGGAGGAAGATGAGGAGAGCTAAGCCCAGGCAGGCAACAGGGATGAGGTAGCCGACGAGAAAGCTGATGTTCTGCTGGATGAAGGCCACCACCAGGAGAGCGAAGACAGCGCCGATGTTGATGCTCCAATAGAACCAGTTGAAGAAGCGCCGCGTGGTGTCCTCACCCCGGTCAGTCACCTGCCAGTGTGAGAGAAGCAGTGTGGAGAAAGGTGCCCCACAACCAGCTCAGTGTCAGCAGTGCTTGGATAGAGCCAATCCTCAGTCTGAACGCAAGATTTCCATCTCATCCCCTGTCCTACCACCCTCCCACATCTCAGCTGTGCTCTACTGCTCCCCACAGCCTCCTCTCACCATCTCCTGCCTCTCTTCACCCCTTACCTGCCAGCTTTCTGCCCTTTCCCATGCCCCACTTTCCCCAGCAAGGTTCCRCCAAGGATCTCAAAGAATTTGCCGGTGGTCTGTGGTGATGAAACCATGCTGGGAACCAGCATGTCTGCTCCTTCCCACAGTCTCTCTTCCCCGGTWGTGAGGACACTGTCTCTTTGGCTTTTCAGTAGAGGAACAAAAACTGGCATATCTATCTATTGCACACCAGCACATGGCAAGTACCCAGGGCTAGAGGAGCTTTYTGAGGAGGACCCAAAGAGCAGAACATGCTCGGCTTACCTGGTCAGCGCCAAAGGGAGTGAGGTTGGCCCTGGTGGAGCTCACACCCAGCGCCAAGAGCAGCAGGCCGGAGTAGACCACGGGAGCACAGTACTGGTACTGGGGATACCCCGGGCACGTCTCGGTGTGCTCCATGGAGCAGTTTTGGACGGAGTAGGAGGGCATCTGCCCGCACAGGGAGAGGCGCCCATCGGCCGAGGCCGCGGTGGGCAGCAGGCACGCCGCCAGGAGGTACAGCACGAAGCTCAGCGCCACGGTGCCGTAGCGGCCCAGGTAGACATCGGCCAGCCAGCCGCCCACGGGCGAGAGCAGGTAGGAGGCGCCCAGGAAGACGAGGGAGGCACGGGACGCCTGGGTGCCGCCCCAGTTGAAGGTGCTGCTGTTGAGGTAGAGCACCAGGTTGGCCGTGACGCTGAAGAAAGCCGCCCGCTCCAGGCCCTCCACCACCAGCACGGCCACGCACGCTGCCCAGCGCCCCTCGAGCGGCGACCCATCCCGGGCGCCGCTCGTGGCCAGCAAGGGCCTCCGCTCCGCGCGGCGACCTGCRGGAGCCATGGCCTTCCTCGGCTCGCGCTCGCCGTTCACCGCTGCATCCGTCCCCTTACGGCCCGGCTGGCGGCCCCGGCCTCGCTCAGCTTGCTCGGACGCGGGCTCCCTTCCCTGCCGGGCRAGTTTGCTCCAGCCTCTTCCGTCGCCGGGCGCTATCCCCTCCCCTCCCCGGTTCCTGCTTCTGCTTTCTCTGGTGAGCAGAGACATCATATGACAACTCGTGGCTCGAAAGGGAAAATCCCYGGCCCCGTGAGCCCGCGTGGCTTCTTTCCCGGGGTTGCAGCCTCCCAGCCTCCGTGTCCCACGCTCCCTTCCCTGYGTTGGGCTGTTGGTCTCCGGTCACTCCACGGTTGGCATTCCTGCGCCATTCCTGGGCAGTTGAGGAAAGGAGGGAGGGAGGAGGAGAGATACACCCTACTGGACCCCAAAACCCAGGCCCGGGTCATCACAGCAAGCAGTGGGGCGCTCCCTTCCCTCCCCCTCGCCTCGCGCCCAGCAGGTGCCTGCACGGAGGTTTGGGTCCCCCCTGGGACAAGCCCCAGGCCTGTCGCAGGGCACAGAAGGGCACCCCAGCCTCCAGAGGGCAGCAGGGCTGCGCTGGCAGGTGCCCTCCCTTGATCTCTGGGCAAGGCAGGATGGCTGCTCGGAGGTGGCGGCAGCACGAGGAGATTGAGCGTGGGGTTTGCTCCCCAAGAGCCTCCTGCTCCGGCTCTCAGGGTGCCTGTGGCACTGTCGGAGCTGCCCCCGGGCTCTCTGCACCAGCRCCCACTTCCACCATCTCCCTGTGGAAACCAAACAGCTTAGGCATGGCCATGAGCCCCATGGGAGACCCCCAGGTGGGCCTCAGTTCAGGGCCTGGTGGGACACCAGGAGRTGCAACTCTTGGCCCCAGCAAGCTCTGCATCCCCGTGGGGCTGAGCACCACTGGGTGTGAGCCCACAAGGTCCTCACGGCTCCCCAAGGCTGTGCTGTCACTTGCAGGGATGCAGCAGGCATGTGCCGTGGGCCCTGAGCAAAGACCACCCTCATCTACCTCACTTCAGTGTTCAGGGGTGCAACTTCCCTCCAATGAATGGCTTGGGTGTTTGCTGCACTTGGCAGGATGGAGCCACCCCGTCAACTGCTCTCTTCTGCTCACTTCTCTCCCTCCACCCCCAAGGTGCTGAGCTGGCTTCCTGGAGACCTCAACCACAAGACAGAAAAGGAGAGCGAGGCAAAGAGAGAGAAAGCGCACAGAGCTGCACCAAACCCATGTCTTCACCGAGAAAGGTGATGGGAGGACTGTGTTGTCTGACCCCGTGTCTCCCAAGCCCGTGATGGGACCGCTCGGCAGTCTGTGAGAAGGATGGAGGTGCTCTACATGCTCCTGGCAGCTCTCTTCTTCTCAGCGCCCAGACAAGGTACGCCACCTTCATCACTCTGTCCCTCTCATTTCCTTCCCTCTCATCTCTTCATGAGGAAACCCCAAGCGCAAACTGTCATACTATGAAATTCAAGCTAAGATATTTGATATTCTGTCTTGGAGCTGGGCACCTTCTGCTTCACCCCATTCTGGGCCAGTGTCTTCCTGGACATAGGGTACTGGCAACTGTCTTGAAGCTGTTTCTGCAAACAGGGTGCGTGTTATTGGGGTTGATTCAAATTCAGTGCTGAGCAAGAGAAACTGGGCTTATTTCCACCCTGAGATGCTAGGCACAGCATGGGGCTGGAGTGATCTCCACCTCTCCTTCACACGCCTTCTTACTGCTTGTTCAGAATGAGCAAAAGGGATTCCCATTTTGGGTGTTACTGGGTTGGGGACCTACAAAAGGATTTTTAGGATAAGTGTCTCCCAAGGTGGGAGATGGAGGCCCTTCCCATGCTCTGGGTCTCATCTATCTCAAGCAAAACTTCAAACAGCCATTGTGAGATAAGGGCACAAGGGACAAATCTGAGGGACCCTGAGATGAACTGTCCCACTCTCCAACTCTTCCTGTGTTGTGGAGGACAGCCCAAGCCCTCTACTCCATATAGGCAGCTCTTTTGACCATTAGTTACTGTAAATATATCTGCCTTCCTGCCGGAAGGGATGACCAGGCCAAGATGCCCCGAGACACCACCAAAGAAAACACTTGTCCCCCAAAAGGAAGTTCTCTTGCTCTCCCTCCCAGCCCAGCCTTAGACCTGGAAGCAGAGCTGGGATGGAGAAGGAGTCACCAGAGGGATTCATGACGGGGGTGATGGTGCTCACTGCAGAGCCCTGTCACGCAGATCACCATGGGAAGATGGGTGACAGCAGAGCACAGAGGGCCAGAGACCAGYTCTCCAAAGAGAACACACGGCTGCGGATGTGCTCCTAAGAAATCTCTTAGGGGAGATCTCCCCCATGAGTGTCCCATCCTCCTTGGTGCCTGCAGCAGACCTGGGCCGAGCAACAAAGCCTTCCTGTAGACAGCCACGCAAGGGCGAAGCAGTGGAGAACTGTCAATGAGTTAATGGGCTTGGGGGGGTCTCCCTGCTTCTTTTCCCTCGTAATGAGATCTTTGCAGACAACTGTGAATTAATGGAAGGCCACAATAAACAGAAAAGCCTTTCTGCTGACACAAAATGGAGGCAAAGCGCTTCGCTAATGTCAGCCTTGGACAATCCAGTGCTGGTGTTGGTATTGTCGCAGGATAATTTGGTTTAARCACCTAATAGAAATGTGGTCCTCAGCAAATTTTAGGCACCTAGCCCAAATCCTCTGTAAGTCTCCACAGTGCGGAAAAGGAAGGTTCCCAACAGACACAGCACATCATCTGCCTTGGGCGTTGATCTGAAATCACCCTCAGAGGTGGCTAATTGCCGTAATTAATAGATGGGCTCGCAGGCAACCCCTGATACGCTCCGACCCCTGGCCCCTCAGCATGTGGAGGAACCCCCTCCCGGCGCTGCTTCCTACGGCGTGAACGAACGAGCCGGTTCCCCTGGGGCTCGCGTCCCCACCACGAGTGGTGGCACTAGGCACCACTCCTAGGCACTAGGGTTTTTGTGCCTTTTCTCCAGCTCCCGTCATCGCTGATCATTTTGTCATCCCTGTGTCTGAGCAGCAAGTTTTCTGGGGACGGTGCCATCTCCCCCGCTCAGCTTTGCGTGTTCACACCTAAGATGGCTGACAGAAACAACAGCTAATCCTGCGGCTGCTGTCATTACTGATGAATTAATGAATTATCGTCATCTCCCATGCTTCTGCTTTTCTTGTTGTTGTTGTTCTGCTGCTGCTGCTTTCTTGCTCATGCTGGTTTGGGTATGTTTTGGGGCACAACACTTTTACTTCTGTTTGCATCACTTCAATGGTCAGGGAGGAAGAGTGGAAAGGAGGAAGGCTGCCAACGTGACCTTAGGGAGCGCTATGTGCAGTCTCAGTTTTGTTTTCTGAGGGGAACAAGCTTCCATATCCTAGGAAACCCCCGGGATCTTCTCACACGCCCACCATTGGCGTGGTGTGCACGGAGGGACACCAGCACTGCCTCCTTTCTCCCCACATTCAAACCCGAACATTTCTAGGGGGCTGGGGCARGTCACACAGCTGCGCTGGACCTACCAACAGGGCTGCTCGGGGCTGTGAATCAACTGCCTTGGGCCCCTGCTAAAGCAGCCTAGGTTAGGAATGGAAGAGTGGCCGTATGGGGTGAGCTTGAAGGTTCCCCCGTCCTCCCTCTCCGGCCAGTCCCGGCTGYTCTCTCAAGCAGCAGGACACAAGAGCAGTGGCTCTTTCCCGCTATGCCTGTCCTGTTTCTGCTTTGCAAGCCCATCACGCTCCCCAGGTGCCTTTCGGGGCCTATTTTTCCATCCCTTTTATCTTTTTTTTTTTTTTTTTAATAAGAAAACTGGAGACCGTTCAGGCAAAAAGCAGCAGCCAGAGGAAAAAGCAGCAGCCAGAGGAATTGTGGCTGGAGTCGGCTCGGAGGTTTAGTTCTGAAATCTCATCATATGCTAACCACGCAGTGAATTCTCCAGTGAATTGATCAGCAAACTGTGGATATTGAGCCATGCCCAGATGACCAGCAACGAATCATTCCTAAAAATCTATAGGCAATCTCATGGTTTTTTTTTTAATTATTATTTTTTGGTGGGATTATTGTTCTACAGAAAAAAAAAAAAATGTACTGACCATATTTGCTTTTATGGGAAGCCTACTCTGTCCCAGCACCGTGGGATGTCTGCTGCAGACAAAGGCAATCTGATGTAAAYCCCGCACAAGCAGGTCGAATAAATTGATATATCATGCAGCAATTGATGAACAAAAGTAAAAGCAGGATTCAAAGTGCTTTAGAGTGTAACATGAGGTTGCTAACCCACAGCCTTTTGATAATCCTTTTGATTATTTTCTCTGTAGTGCCTAGCCTCCCCTGTTTCCATACACCCCATTTTAAGCGGCTCTTCTTTAAAGCAAGTGGAGAATAACTACTGTCGTTAGGMTGCATGTGGAGGCCCCGACAACAGCAAAGTTGATTTTACAGTAGCAGTGCTTATTGTCATAGGTTGCCCCTGGCATACTTACAGACACGAGGGGCTAACGCCTAACGTGTTGTGCTGTGGGGGAGGATTTGCTGTTCGCCAGGAGATGTCCGTGGTTGCTGGCACTTTGCACATCCACCCAGGCAGTGGCTAGTGAGGAGGCTGGGGTGGAAGAGAGTCCTCTTCTCCTTGACCTGTGTATCCAGCGCCGGCCCTGTGATGCGCGTCGCGATCAGGAGCCTCTTTTGGATCAGTAGCTCAAAGCTATTTGGCACGACGTGAGCACAGAGCAGGAACACAAGCGGTATATGAAACCCAGGGCACTTGGCACACATTTCTTTTCATTCAACCAATTTGCCATGGAATTTTTTTAAGTGACCTCCTCATGCATCTTGATGGGGCTTCCTTGAGGGCTGGCCAAGCTCTAGCAGTCTCTGCCGTGGACTGGGGAGCGACTGAGGCAAGATTCACAGAGCCGTATGTGAGATGGCTGCTCCTGCCTAGCTGGTTGCTGTGAGCTCCCGTTGCAGATGTGTTGGTGAAAGGGGTGTCAGGACAGGACCAGCTCACCAAGCATGGGCCCCCCTGGTCCAGCACCTCAGCCATGTGAGCCCAGAGGAACACAGGGTGAGGCCTTCAGCAGAGAAGGGAATGGTGCGAGGTCTGTCTCTGGTCCCAAGTCCATCACTGGCTCCAGCTCTGCTCCAACTTATTTGGGGTGCACCGGCCTCATCACCGAGGCTGGAAGAAGAAGCTCTCCACACTGCCCATACTGTTTCCATGGGCTGAGCAAGCAGCCCTGCACCACATGCTGTGCTATCAGGGGAATAAATAACAGCAGGATTTCATCTGCAATCACAGCAAAGACACCTAGCCTTATCCTTCAGTGTACATGCTCTGCCCAGGAGGAGCCGAATGGAAAATTCAGGCCATGTATTTCTTTTTTCTGGTGATAAACATCAGAGCCCAGCATGCAGCTCAGCGGGGCTGTCAGCTCCCTGTTAAAGCTCTTGCTGAAATGGGCTGTTGATGTCGGTTAAATTGAAAGGAAGAGAGAGAAAAGGGACAGCAAGACAGGGAAGAGAGAATCAGAGAGACGCGACCGAAACGATACCATGCCCTTAGGGCACAACCCGCCAGCGAGCCGGGGCGAGATGAAAGTGTTTCGTCTACAGCTAAACTGCTGTGACAGGGACATCTATTCCACGGTGGAATCAGCTCGCTGGCGTCTGGGGATGAGGGAGAGAGCCTTGTGCTGAGCCCAGGGCTGAGCAGGGCAGGAAGGAGCGCCGAGTCTCATCCCGGCAGCGGGGACGCCGTGTATTTGGGTGCTAACTGCTTCTCTGCACGGAGGAACCCTCGGCATGAAAGCCCGGCGGCTCTGGAGGTGGAAATGCCGAGGGCTTTCTGTCGGCGGCTCTGGAGCTGGGAATGCTGAGGGTTTTCCATTGGCGGCAGCCAAGGGCAGCGTGCCGGGAGGCAGGGCGGCGAGCAGAGATGGCTCAGACCCACGATGCTGCTTTGCTGCAGGATTTTCCCACCTGGGAACAGCTTCCCAGTGTTTCTACCTTCAAAGTGAGATTCCGCTTCCATTAATGCTGCAAACGGATCTTTTAAAACCCATGTTTCTGCTCCAGGAATTGGCCCTCCAGCCACATCCCTCCCATCCTACCTTCAGAGTCATTTTTTTAGCTGGGAGGGCCAATACATGAACCTGGAGATTTAATTTCAGGGGTGCGAAGCACTTGTGCCCAAGCACTTGAGCTGGGGAAGCAGCCCAGGCGCTTGCCATGGTGCCTCCCGCTGTGCGCGCTGCGCGGCCTCCATCTTGTGGTGCTCGGCGCCATTTTGTCCGTCACCTCTCGGTGCTCGGAGGGCGTGCAGAGGGGAGGCCGGTGGCCGCAGGGCATGTCCCACCTCATCGGGCACACAGGGCTGGCGGGACCAGCTCCAGTGATGTGGCTTTTCCCATGGTTTTCCTCAGAGAGAGCTCTGTGCCCTGGATTTAGCAGGAATCGTAGAAAAAAAAAATGGTGGAGGATTTCTCTGAGCAGCGTGAACTCCGGGGATGAGTTTTTGCAGTGAAAGGGAATTACATGAGCGCGAGCACCAGGTTAGGGTTGAGTTAGTGGTGAGTTTTCCCCTCTCGTAGGTCCCTGGAGCTGCTCTCTGATGCTACAGTTCCCCCTTCTCAGGCCAGCACTTGAGTTGACCCCACAAGCTGGCTCCATCTCCTGACAGACTTGCTGTCCCTCTGCAGCCTCTTCCCAGGTCCTAGTCTCCTTCTGGAAAAGTGCCAGGGCTCCCTTTCACGGGCACATGCAGGGCTGTGTGTGCAGGAGCTCAGTAAGGGTAGAAGAGCAGCACGTGAGACCCACCAGCCGGGCCGATCTCCACCTTCATGGTGCCTTGGCCGCTTGGGATCAGCAATGACTCCAGAAGGGGACCCGAAGTCCTAGGTCTTGCCTTGGATGAGCTGTTTTCATGAGCGGGAAGGCAACGTGGCCTGGCTGCAGTGGCAGGGTTTTACCACGCATCTCACGGCAGCTGGTGGGACATCTTCCTTCATTGGAAGCACCTGCCCCTTGAGTCATGGTGTTTCGTGAGCTCCTTGTCGAGAAAGGGAAGCCAAATTTCTGAGCTCTCAAGAAAATTTTGACGAAAATGACTTCGTTTTTCTGAGCTATAGACCAGAAATCAAATCGAAAGAACTATCTCCTAAAACCCGCCTCTTCTAACCCAGTTTCATGATTTGAGCTGAGACCTGACTCACTGTTTTTAAGGTTTGGTTGGGCCAGGTTGCTGCTGCTGTTGGTTTAAAATCTGGTTTTGAGCAAGCCCGGCTTGTTTGTACGTGCGGTGGGAGAGTTTCCAGCCGTGCTGCAGCAATGCTCCCAAATGACGTGCCAGAGCAGATGGGAAGCAAGATCCCGGCTCCGCTTCTGCCCGTGCTCCCCTGTGTGGGAGCCAGCGGGGCTCAGATATTTGCACGCCCGCATGAGAACAGATCTGCATCCCTCCGACCTGTCATCTGTGTGCAAGGCAACGTTGGCTTTGCTTTTCTCCGTCCAAAAATACTCGGTGGTTTGCCCTGTCAAAACTGTTCAGCAAGCCAAACGCTTCCCTTTGGCTTCGTTTCCCAAGTTTTACAAAGTCAGAGGGCGGGAAGAAAAAACTACAGAGAAGGGCAACAGAACTACAGAGAAGGGCAACAGAGAGGGGCCACGAGATTGCTCAGACGCCCAGAGTAAAGGAAGTGGTGGTGGAAATCTTCAAGACAGGCCTGTTGATGCATGGTAGAAGGTTTTAACATAACCACGGCCAGATAGTAGTGCTCTTTGGGGTAACATGGAGCAGCAGAGCTGAAGACAGAGCAAATAACTGCTGGGAGGGATTTCCTTTGGTTCCTGTCCGTGTGAGCCCACCTGCAGATGCCTGACTGCACGTGTGGAGGAGGGCTTTGCTGCTGGGCTCCTCTGCACTCCCAAACCTCTCCCTGTTGTCAGCCAGGTGCCAGGGCTGGCAGCCAGGCCTGGCAGACACAGAAGCTGGGGGTCAACGGGGATCTTTTTCTATCAGCTACAGGGCTGAGGCTCTGCAACTGTGAGTGAGAAGGAAAGAAAACTGCAGGTTCCTCCAGCAGATGGTCTAATTGATCCTGCCCAGCCAGTTTCTCAGCAGAGGTGAACCGGCATAACTCGTATAGCTGGCCAGGGGATGCCAAACTGAGTTCTTCTCTTGGCAAGGGCCTTGCACAGATAAGAGCTCTGGGTAAGGAAAGGGAGACAGCCAGAGCCAGGAAACAGGTCCTCAGACTGGCTCTTGGCCTTGTGTTGAGCGCTAGCTTGGCCCACGTGCAAGGCCAAATTCGCATATGGGACAAGCAGGTGCAGTTCGGTAGGGCTTGGACTTTCTGCAGCTCTCAGGCTGGCTCTCAATAGCCACGGACCTATCTAGTGCTTCTGACTTTGTTGTTCCCATTGCCTGTTCTCAGCTTCACTCTAGACATTCATATACTTCCATCAGTGCATCCATCCATCCTGCACCCATCGCAGCAGGTTGGAGGAGGATTCGCTCTGAGCCTGCTTCTCTTGAGCATTAATAGAGCACCTCAGAAAGCTTGGGGAACTGCCCTGTGCCGTGATGCACATTCTGGTGCACACACTGGTGCGGGTTGAGAGGCAGGCTCTCAGTCCTGCAAAATTTCACTCCATGCCATGTCTGTTCCTTCCTTGTTCCAGCCCAAGCGAAGCCAATGGAGCCTCCTGCCAGCCTGAAGAGCAGAATCACTGGAAATGCCTCTGTGGAGTCAGGTGAGGGCAGGAGGGGCCAGGAAAATGCCTGCTCACTACCTGCTGTCCCAGGTGGGAGTAGGTGGAAGYCCTTGAGACAGAGGAGCTTGCATTTCTGGGGCTCCTCTCCTTGGAGGCCAGCCTGGGGAGTGTCCAAGCACACGCAGCGTGTCTTGGTGCACAAGGAAGGAAGCATGGAGGTGGGAGGGCTTGTGGGTCCCCAGCGTGCACATGGGTGGCCCGGGGGCATCACTGCCATCACGACCAGAGAGGAGTGCCTTCCTGCATGCTCACACCCGGCTGTGGCCCACGCAGGCCTCCTTGGCACGGCCGCGCTGCGCCTGGCCAACGGCAGCGGTCCCTGCGAAGGAACGGTGCAGGCCCTGCACGAGGGCCGCTGGGCACCCGTGTGCCGCGAGTCCTGGAGCCCGGCCACGGCCCACGCTCTCTGCAAGCGCCTGCACTGCGGAGATGCCGAGGAGGAGGCCGCCGCGGCGGATGCTCCTGCCATGGGGCCATCCCCCGTCATCCCGGGAGCCCTCTCCACGGTGCACAGCGACTGCGTGGCCACGGTGGCCAACTGCAGCGGCTGGCAGAGGGGACCCTGCRTGCTGAAGCTGGCCACCGCGCCGCACTGCTGCAGGGCAGGGCTGGCTCGAGCTGCCTGCACAGGTGAGAGCCGTGCCCTGGAGGTGGCCCAGCCCACGGGCCAAGCTCTCCCGCAGGTCAGTGCCACCCGTGTGTGTGTGCCAGGTCCCCACAGGCTGCGGCTGGCCGGCGGGAAGAGCCGCTGCGAGGGCCGCGTGGAGCTGGAGCAGGCGGGCAGGTGGGGCACGGTGTGCGACGACGGCTGGGACGTCGCCGACGCCGGCGTGGTGTGCCGGCAGCTGCAGTGCGGCTGGGCGCTGCGCGCGCGGCACGGCGCCGCCTTCGGCCGCGGCGCGGGGCTCATCCTCCGCGACGACGTGGCCTGCGCCGGGCACGAGGACCACCTGTGGGACTGCCCCGCCGCCCGGGAGCACGACTGCAGCCACAAGGAGGACGCCGGCGTGGTGTGCTCGGGTGAGTCCCGTGCGCCCCGCTGCGCTCTGCCCTCTGGAGCAGCCTTCTCCCGTGTCCCAAGGACAATGCCCTGCACGGGAGAGGCTCAACAGGGTTTAGTTTCCCCCGAGAAGAGGCAAATCCCGCGGGCAGGAAGCGCTTATGCTTGTGGGATGCAGGTGTGTGCGTTCCTGCTGGTCCCTGAGCTCTTCTCCGCAGAGCACCAGCAGTGGCGGCTCTCCGGAGGCCGGGATGGCTGTGCCGGCCGCGTCGAGGTCTTCTTCAGGGGCACGTGGAGCACGGTGTGCGACAGCACGTGGTACGAGATGGAGGCCAGCGTGCTGTGCCACATGCTGGGCTGCGGGGCGCCCCTYGAGCGGCCCTCCTTCGACCACACGCTGCCCGGCAAGATGCTTTATGAGTGCACGGGGCTGCAGCCGTCGCTGGCCCACTGCAAGTGGACCTACAACAAGTCAGCTCCTTGTCACCAGTCCCGGGCAGCTGGTGTCGTCTGCAATGGTACGTGACAGCCTTCTGCAGCCCAGGCGCAGGAGCTGGAGTCATAGCCAGCTTGCCTGCGTGTCTCCAGCTTTGCCTGGAGGGCAGCGCTTCCCTGCTCTGAAGTTGGCCATGGAGATGAGCATGTAGCTGTGCATGCTTGTGGCTGTGGATTCCCCTGTACAAATAAGTTGCAATTCTGCTTTTTCTGCCCTGGCTAATTCCTGCCTCCCYGTCTATCCACTGTCCTTCCAGGCTCCCTGGGCTTAGAGATGCTGGCCACAACGGAAACTCCGAACACGAGCAGTGTGACACCCCTGAACTGTGAGTCTGCAGGGCAGAGGCAGCCCTGTCCTTGTTTCCTCAGAGCCTCAGTCCTGGCCCCTGGCCATCTCTGCCCAGGGAGAGATGTGTGGCAGCACTGGCCTGCAAGTGGCATCTGGCTCGCCTATTTGCTGCTGACCTTGGGGGAGGGCAGGGAGGGAAAGGGGAGTTCCAGGTGTCACGAGGTGCGTCTGTTCTCTGTCTCACCACCCGCACGCCTGTGCCAGCTGGGGGCTCCTTGAGTGAGAGAGCCCAGATCCCGCTGCACATGCCRCTCCTCATCCTGTGCGTGGTTCTGGGCGCGTTGCTCCTGGTTATCACTCTGGCTTTCATCACCACCCTGCTGAGGATGAGGAAGATGAAKGGTAAGGAGCCCTCCGGAGGCATGTGCGGAAGGGTCTGCCCGCAAAGGAGGCGATACTGTGGTCCCAGTCGGGGTCACCCGTGCTCATCCCAGCCACAGGAGCTGGGCTCACTGGGACCCGAGGCCAGCTGAGAAGGGACGTCTTTGTCTTTGCAGCACACRCTGTGTCCTCTCCATCGCTCTCTGGGCCAGTTCTGGTGACCCACAGTGCCCAGGGCCTTGATGTGCCCTCTGCAGTCTACAACGACTACAGGCAGATGCCCACCAGTCCCCAAAAAGGACAAGGTAGGACCAGCAGGTTGCTCCCATGCCTCGTGTCTCCAGGAGGCACCRGGACAAAGCCCAGACCCTGGCCTGTTTTTGCCCTCACTGGCATCACAAGACAGTCCCACCACAAGCTGAAGGGCTCCTCTTTGACGAGTTTCCTCAGCCGGTGGTGGTCAGGAGCTGGGCTCAGGCTTAAGGGCCCCGGGGCAGGAGATCCCAGGTGGTGACAGCCTGGCCACTGGGGTCTTGCCCTGCAGACCAGCCGCTCGCACCCCTCCTGGCAGCCAAGGACTCTGACTCCGACTCGGACTATGAACACTATGACTTCAGCAGCAAGCCGCCTGTGGCCCTCTCCACCTTCTACAGTGAGCGTGCCCCCGGGCACCTTGGGCATCACCATACCCTGGGCATGGAGATGCCCCAATCCAGCCCCCTTTGCCCCCGTGCCGGAGCTGACACGCCGCCGTTCCTCTCTTGTGCAGACTCCCTGCGACGCCAGCCAGGCGACCAATTGCTCCCACTGATGCCGAGCCAGGACGTGCTGGTCCCTGCRGAGGGTACAGAGGGCCCTGGGGGTTGCCCTGGGGTGGGGAGGGACTCAGTGAGGCTGCTCCTCTGCCTTGTGGAGGCACACCGTCCGTGTGCGTGTCCTGCAGAGCAGGGACAGCTCTGGGCAGGCAGTGGCCCGGAGGCTGATGCTGCGCTGTGCCATGCAGAGCGCGCCGTGCTGCTCCCCCAGCCCTGCGAGACAGCGAGCAGCTCCTCCGGCTCCTCCAGCTCCGCAGAGCCCTACTGCAACGGCAGCGCGCCCCCGCCGTGCCCCTGGGCCTGCCCGCAGCCCCCCGAGGAGGGCACCCACCCGAACGCAGCACCCGCCGTGCTCAGCAGCGCTGAGTACCCCCCCGCAGGTGAGGCAGGGGCCGAGCCATGCTGACCCGGGYATGGGGATGGGGACACCCCCAGGGAGGGGAATAGGGCTGGCGAGACCCCAGGCAGTGGTGAGAGCCTGGAGATGGCAGCTGGGATGGAAGAGGCCAGTAAAAGCTCCTGATCTCCKCAGCTTCCCTGGGAATGCCCCACACGCCTGCCCCTGTGCCAAAGCTCTCCCATCCCTGAGTGCCTGTTTCTCCCGCAGAGCCGAATCCCGCTGACAGCTCCAGCACCTCGTCCGGGGAGTGGTACGAGAACGTGCAGGGGGCAGAGGCTKCCAGCACCGCATCCGCGGGCTCCGGTGAGGACGCTGTGCTGGCAGAGGAGCCGGGAGCAGGGCTGCAGGGCACCTCTGCCCCCGCTGCATCGCGCACGGAGACTCCTCCTGCAACCGCAGCCCCCCGCCCAGCCTCTCCTGGCTCCCTTGCAGGTTGGCCGGCTCCCTCCTGCCGCTCCGGGGCACRTGCGCAGGACTCTGACACCTCGGAGGGCAGCGACTACGATGACATCCAGGTCTCTGCCTACTGAGGCTGGCAACTGGCCTCCTCTGGGCTGCCCGTGCCCTCCATCCAGCCCCAGGGAAGGGGTGCCCAGCTGCTAATGGCACAGGACTAGCATCTGCATCTGAATAAAAAACAAAAAGCCCTGGTCCACGCCAACATGTGGGCAGACAGACAGAGCCACCAACCTGCTGCTGGGAGAAGCAGCCCCAGGAACCGGTCCCTTGTGGCCCAGACCTTCTTGCAGATGCCCAATACTGTGGAGCATCCAGGTGGGCAGAGTCTCCTGGATGGGACCACGTGGCATCTCATTGTGGCCATCCCCTCCGGGCATCCTCGCTGGGCACGTTGCGTGTGCTGTGGGGAGAGGCAGCGGGGACACCAGGCCTAAGCGCACGCCTGGCTAGGACAGGGCCGTTGGAGCAGGCGAGCGGGAGGCAGGGCTCTGCCGCGCTCCGTGCAGCCATTAAAAGCTTTTCCCAGCGGGCAGCTCAAGCGGGTTGCCGTGTCCTGTGGCCACGAGTGGCCGGGTTGGTGGCTAGCGATTCCCAGAGCAAGGCTGGTTCCCCAGGCACCTTCCTCTACTCCTGTGCCCCTTGGTTCCTGTCCCTGTTGCAGGAGTGTGTGCTGCAAGCTGCAGCGGGGAGCCCAGTAGYGGGTGCAGACTGGGCATGTGGCCCCTGCTCCTCGAGCAGTGCCTTCTCCAAGAGCTCTTGGAGGCAGGTGGTGGGCTCCGGGCTGCAGGGTGGGCAGAGGGGCTTTCTCCCTGCCGTGCACCACGCCATGGCTGCTGGGCAATGTGGTTTCCCCTASCCAGGGCCAGATGCCCGTGGCAGGAGGTCCCCTGGTTGGGCATGGGCATGGTGGGACCAGCCAGACGTCCTGTTCCCTAGCCTGCCCGAGCACAGAGGGCATCAGGCCACAGGGATGCAGGGTGACAGGGATGTGGGATGGCAGGGAWTGGTGTGGCAGTCCCCTCGCCATCCCTGTGACACCCAGGGGCTCTGCAGYACTGGAGCCAGGGCTCACCTTGTGCCTTCCTGTTCCCTGCCACAACATGGTCCTCCACGTCCCAGGCGCTGCTCCTGGGGACACGCGGGCCCGTCAGCCCTCACCAGGGCACTCAGGGGATGCCGGCAGCCAGGACCCAGCCCATGGCACAGCCTCCAGCCCCTGTCTTGTCCTGCCTCCTCCCTCCCGTCCTTTGCAGTCACCTCTGCGACGTGGGCACCCAGCTCTTGTGGCCCGTGGCCCCCTCCTTCCCCTGCGCCCGGGCGCCCCACGGGCTCCTTGGAGCGCTTTGCCGTGCAGCGAAGCCCAGGGCGCCCCAGCGCCCCACGCGGCTCTTTCCACTGGAAAGCCTCCCGCCGGAGCTGCCTCCCCGCCGCGGCTCCTATCAGCCCATCTGCGGCTCCGCGTTGCCCTCCCGCAGGGAGAGCTTCCTCCCGCCGCAGCCCTGCTCCTGGCGAGGCGGTGCTGCCGGGCCCGGGGGGACCTCCCTCGCCGCGGCAGCTTGAAAGCTGCATCAGTGGAAAATTGGCCCCCTTGCCACATCCTTCAGCTGTTTACAGCCCCAGAACAAAAGGGCCGCTCCGCTTGCCGCAAGAATGGAGGAAGCGCCGAAATAGCAACAAAGCGGCGTGCAGCTCCCAGACAAAGCGGGGGCAAGACAAAAGAGACGAGCGCGAGGCAACGGCTGGCTGCGAGCGCCAGGGGCCGCGGGCACGGGCTGCCCATGGGGCGGCTGCGTTGCTCGTGCACCAGCGCGCAGCCGGGCTCGCGAGAGCCACGAGCGGGAGGGACGTCGGCGCGGGCAAGAAGGTGTCCAAGCGCCCTCGGGAATCTGCAGGGGTGCTTGTCAGCGTCACGCCGGCGCCAGCACATCCAGGGAGCGGCTGCACTGGCCTGTCCCCGGCACAGTCCTTCCACCAGCATCCTCAGCATGGGGGACCCGGGAGCTATGCTCCCTTGCCGAGTGCTCCATTCCCGGAGTGCTCCATGTCTGGAGTGCTCCATCCCTGGAGTGCTCCATTCCCGGAGTGCTCCATACCCGGAGTGCTCCATCCCTGGAGTGCTCCATCCCTGGAGTGCTCCATTCCCGGAGTGCTCCATACCCGGAGTGCTCCATCCCCAGAGTGCTCCATCCCAGGAGTGCTCCATCCCTGGAGTGCTCCATTCCTGGAGTGCTCCATCCCTGGAGTGCTCCATTCCCGGAGTGCTCCATTCCTGGAGTGCTCCATCCCTGGAGTGCTCCATCCCTAGAGCACTCCATTCCTGGAGTGCTCCATACCCGGAGTGCTCCATCCGTAGAGCACTCCATTCCTGGAGTGCTCCATCCCCGGAGTGCTCCGTACCCGGAGTGCTCCATCCCTGGAGTGCTCCATTCCCGGAGGCTCCAGGGCGAAGGGGCAGAGGGATCATCCCCAGCCATGACTGCTGGCCAAACGTTTATCTGCAATTGCTGCAAATTGCTGCAAATTGCTGCTGTTCCCACCCGCAGTGCAGGTATTTAGGCACTTGCGTGTTGAATGGCAAGTGCTGAGGAAAATCACCTCCATGAGCATCAGGATAATAAAGCCCCRGTAACAGCCAGCAAGCTGGTTCGGATTTAGCATCCATCTCAAGTGGAAGCTTCTCCCAGGCAGGGAGCGCATTAGTGCCTCCAACCACTCCCCCCGTCCTCAACCCCTCTGGAAAGACTTTATAACCATCATCATCCTCTGCCACAACACAAGCATGATGCTCTCGTGCCCAGATGAAGGAGCGAGCCGATTGCATCGCAGGCGCTTTGCAGGACGTGCCTGTAGTGCCTTGAAGAGGGTCTAAACTCTAGATCCAAACTCCTCTCCAAGGGGAGACCTGACCAGTTGCCATCCAGAAATCCAATGGGATTCAGGCACCCTGGGGGGGAGATCTGGGATTCTCATGGCCATGTCACAGGGCTGGATGAGTTAGTGGTGCAACTAGTGCAGACATTGCGTGACAGGCTCGTCTCCACAGGGATTTCCCAGCGTGGCCGCTGGCCGGGCGCGAGGAGGAGGCCCCGCTGCTCCCAACACGTCCCTCCCGCGGCAGCCCCAGCGCTGCTCAAGGCGGATCGTTTTCCAGCCAATTTCCAGGAGGCTGCGTGGGTGATAAAACCTGGCTGAAAACAGGGATMAGAGAGGCTAAAATCACACAAGAGCACAAGCCAGGGCAGACGCTGGGGCATTCTGCAGCATGGAGATCATGGAGGAAAGGCAACGTGACTTCATGGAGGGAAAATTTTGCAGGAAATGTTCTTTTTCGTCAAGACAAAATCATTGTTTCACTCTAGTGGTAAATGCTAGTGGGCAGCATGGGAAGAGCCCCGTGGAGAGCAGCATGTACGTGCCTCTCTRTCATCACAACTCAGCAGAGGGGAGAGAAACAAGAGTGGGGATCAACCAGCCCTCCTCGGCCCACCCGCTCTCCCCTGGTGCCACCTTCATGCCCTGCCTTGCAGGGACCTTGACCCTCTTCAGCAGGAGTGAGCGGACCCTGGGTGTGATACAGCTTAGGAGAGGGTCCCCAGCCCCAGAGAAAGCTCCCTGGCATGTGCTGGCATGGAGCAACTCTGCCACCTTCTTGGGCCATCTCTGCCACCTTCTCCGGCCATCTCTGCCACCTTCTCTGGTCATCTCTGCAGCTCTCCTGGGCATCTGTGCCCTCCTCCCCAAGCATGTGTGCCCATCCTCCCCCAGCACCACTGCCCCCCCACTGCCCCGGCAAACTTCCTCTTGAGTCATGGAAAATCTTCAGGCCGGCACTGGTTTTGGGGCAGGAAACTCCCAGAAGAGCCGGGGCCGGCGYGGGGAGGTGGAGGAAGCGGGTGCTGGGTGCTCGGCAGCACAGCCGAGGATCCGGGCAGGATGCTGGGGCTCACAGGGAAGGGGCACGGAGCAGACACTTCTCCTTAGCATGAGGTCCAAGAGAGAACGGGAGCCGGAGGGAGGGATTTGCTGAGACCTCATGGAACAGCCCTGCGGGCAYGGCAAGCAGCCCGGCACCCAGGCACACGTGAGACACCCCCCGCGCCGCAGAAACACCCGCAGGCCGATGGAAAACCGCCGCCTTCATTAGCATGCATGACCTGGATTCGGAAGGATTAATTAGGGCGTAATCGACGGGCACCTCCGCTCTCCGGCAGCGGTGGGGCCGGGGGGTCCCGCGGCGCTGGCTGCTGCAGGTTTCCTGCCCCAGAGCACCAAGGCTGCGCACCTCGACCGGCAACCGCAGCAAATATAGGCGGAAATATAGACGGGGGAGAGAGAAAGCAAGCTGGTGAGGGCAAGGGGAAGCTGTGGCTCAAGCGGGGAGGCTATTTCTGGAGTTATGTCAGAGCAACCTCAGGTCTCCCCAGGTGGCAAACCAGTCCAGGCAGACCCTGAAGGCCACAGGCGCCGAGTTCAACGGCAACCACTGTTTTTCTCCACTGAAATCTAGTGTCAGCTCTGCTGGCAGCATGGGCTAGCGCTGAAACAGTTCATCGATGACCATAGTCAAGGCTGGACGTGAGGTTTTCCCTCGGTGAAGGCAGCTTGCTGCGTGGTCTGACCGTGCAGAAACCTTTGGTGTGTGTTGGGATGAGCACAGGGAGGGGGATAGATGGAGACAGGGATGGAGGTGGGCATGGGAATGGAGATGAAATGGCATGGRGATGGGTGTGGGAATGATGATGGCGATGGGATGGAAATGGAGATGAGAATGGGGATGGGCATGGGGGTCAGGACCAAGCCGCCTGGGTCTCTTTCTCCTCATCACTCATATTCTGCAGGGTCTGGCAAGAGGCTGATGGGTTTAGACTTCAAACAAGTGCAGAGTGACGCAGAAACCACAGAGGGAGGAAAAACAGACTGTACCTCCCAGTCCCCCCCCTCACCGCCCTTCCCCAGGCTGGGTAGCAGAGGCGTCAGCACCCCGAGCACCCTCCTGCTCCGCGCCGGGGTGCAAGAGGAGGCRGCCGACGGTGCCAATGGCAGCCCAGCACCCCACGCTGGGGCTGCTGCTTGCCATGGGGACGTGGGGTGAGTACCCTGGGTGGGCGGCACCCTTTTGGGGGGCTAGCGGGTTGTGCTGGGCTCAACGCAACGTCCAGCTCGGGCACCGCGCGCTGGGCTAGATCTGTGCCCAAGTCCTTTTCCATAGAAACAGGCTGGATCCCATGCCACCAGCCTCCTCAATCCATCCCTCTAGGGAAGAGAGGTTTGGGATGGCTTTGTAAGAAGGCTTAGGGCACAGAGGGGCTCGGAACCAACAAAGCAGCACAAAGGCATGAGGTTCTGCCCGGCTGCAGTGCAGGAGCCAAGCAAGTGAACCCAAGGGCTGCTGCAGCCAGGGCCATGTGCGTCCTGGCCCTCAAAACTCCTGGTCATCCTCTCCTCTCCCAGGACGGTCATTACTGGCCCAGCACTGCATTATCGCCCAGCTACTCGAGGGCTTTCCGCTCTCCATCTGCAGACACAGGAGCTCATGCATTAAYGCCTCCTTCCAAAGCAGTTGCCTCCTCGGGCTGCCACAACCGYGCCGTGTTTCTCCCAGCACAAATGTCCCCTGGGCCGGGGCCGCTTGCCACGCGAGCCCAGGAGCCTCTGCTCATGGGGGTCACACCATCTCCTTTGTCAGAGATGAGACCACCTCCTGAGCCAGCCCCAGAGATGGAGCGCGCGGGCCAGGCAAGCCAAGTTTAAACAAAAGTGGTTGCCATCACAGGTGCTGCAACCTGCCCGGCTGAAATAAGCAGCGACAGCCCTGGGCGAAGGTACCCACGGGTGCTTGGTCCTACCTGGCGTGCATCGGAGCTTGGCGGGCACTTGGTGCCACAGGGATGATGCTGTCAGATAGGGCTGCCGTGCAGTCAGCCTGGCAGGAAGCAGTATGGCCAAGCCACACGAAGCCGTTTAGATGTATYTTTTTAAATTAAAGGTGTGAGGAGGAGAAGGCGAGAGCAGTTTCCCCACAACAGTCAGAAAATGCTCTTTTGTGACAGAGGGCATTGGTGTTGGGGGTGAAGAGGGTGGATGCATAATGCAGAAACTCCAGTATGTTAAGCGAGTGAGAGGCCAGGATTCCTGGCTCTTAGCAGCCCACTTTCCCTGGAGAGCAATGAGGAACCAAGCAACATGCAGAGGCCCGCGGACATTTCATGGGGACGTGCGAAGGTGGTGCAGAAATAGCTTCTGTCAGCCAGGAGCCCCCAGGCAGTGGTGTCCCCCAGCCCCTGGAGACCTGCTGGGGCTCCGTGCACCAACCCTGGCCACGGGCACCCAGCACAAGGGCTCCCAAGGCAGGCGTCGGGCCATAGGGAGCCTGTGCGGGTTCCCCGGGGTCCCCGACTGCTTCCTTGGCAAGTGTTGCTCCCCGTGAGCTGCAGGCTTCATCCCAGCGAGGATGCAGCCAGCAAGAAGGCTCTCACACGGTGCTAGGGCTGTATGCTTAATGCGAGAAGGACTCCAAATCCCTTGAAGCCAGGCTAACGTCACCAGAAGGCTCGGGACACACTGGTCTGGGGGGTTTCTTTGCCTCTGCGTCTCCCTTCGCATGGGCTGCCTCCCACACCCGAGGTGCCATGGGTGCCGGGGGCAGGACCACAACTCACGTCTCCCTCCTCCGCAGCCCTCGGCAGCTGCACCGAAGATGCTGCAGGCCCTGCAGGTGAGTGCGGACCCGGGGCCGGCCCTGCGGAGCCCCATGCAGACACGGAGCAGCCCGCGCTCCCAGCGGCGCCATCTCCCCCCGCCGCCATTTTGCGCGCGGCCCCGGCTGCCATTTCAGAGCGCGCGGGGGGCCGTGGGAGCTCCTTGGTGGCGKGCACGGCGCTGGCGGCCGGGAGGAAAGCCCCTGACCCCCGCGCTGTGCCCACAGAGCCRGCGCTGCGGCTCACGGGCACCGGCTGCCGCTGCTCGGGGCTGCTGGAGGTGCAGTGGCTCGGCCGGTGGAGCGGCGTGTGCTGGGACGGCAGGGACGCGCCGGCGGGCTTGGCGGCCGCCGCCTGCCGCCGCCTGGGCTGCGGGCC